AGTCCCACTCTATAATATCCCTTCAACAAGTCCACCTACGATAAATTGCAGCCTACGCTACCTATTATATCTTCAATCAAAGGTAAAGGTAGGAGTCCGAGACAGGATCTGTTCCACTTTAATAATCTCTAAAAGAAACCAAAAAGTGCCATCGGGTTTTGAATGAGAAGTAGCAGAAGCCCAGGGGAGGTACTAGGCCTCAGCTAAGATTTCTAACAAAAATTCATACCTTTTCCATAAACCCTTTTTTTTGTGGATTTAATGATAAATATTTCACTCAAAAAAAAGTATCATCCGCAGATTTCAATATCAAGCTAAGAACAAAACCCAGAGGCCTGATGTAACTTATAAATGTTGATAACAACCAGCAGAGTCTTTTGCTTGAGATGGATTCAGAACAGAAAAATATCATCCAAGTTAAGTTGAGTATGTGACTTCAGGTAGTTTCTTTTTGAAGAGGAAGTTCAAATTTCCTACTTGAAAAACTTATAGCCTTGGATGTCTTCCCCACCGCCTGAATAAAGTTTGGACGCAACAAGCTCAGAATCTTTCATCAGCGAGCATGGACTATATAAGTCAAGAGGAGATAAGTTTATTAGCAAACACAGACCAGTAACCTGCTTGCGAGAGCCTGGAATGGGCAGAAGAAAACACTTGTCACCCGGAGAAATGATCTTTAACCAATTTAGGTTAACTTCACCATTTTTCTGACTTTTTAAGTTTGACTAAAGGCCAATTCGAAATTTATCCCTAAAGGCCAACATAATAAAATTGTTATGGCTTAATAGACGGAGTGTCAAACCACTGCTCAATATTTTCATAGTCCCTTATTTGTCCTCCATAGTAACCTCTAACGGGGAAAAAACCCAAATACACCTGTGACACCCCATGGCAAAGAGTCAAGTCATCCTTTCACCCACCTTGGTGTTCTATACAGTATTTTTGACATTGATGCACAATGGTCCACACTGAGCTTCATCACCAGCTGAAAAGATTGCCCGTAAAAAAAACCCTGACCGACTGGACTCAGAATGCCCACTGAAGAAAAAAGTGCAAAAGATGTTTATCACGCGAAGAGATGCCAAGGAAAAGCCCCAGGATAACTGCAACAGTATCCATAACATAGCAGGAATTGACCCTTCTAGTCTTTTAATGCCCACACAATCCACACAACAATCTTTTCAAATGGTGTAAAAATACTGATGTACTAAATATGACAAGATTTAGGCATTTTGACACATCCTCCAAAGTCCAAAAAACAATATGAACCTTTTATATGCCAAGATTCCAAACATCCTAAATACCATCATAGCAAGGCAATTAACGTCTGAATTATAATACCACTGATGTACCAGACCACAAATAGATGGAAGCTCATGAAAATATATCCCCATCAAACCCCTTCAAGATAATAAAACAATTAAATAAAATCTTATCTCAACTGCTGCATGATTAACTTAAATCAAAGATGGATCATTGTTACTTTTAACGAGCTCATCCTCACTAATTGTCTTAATGTACAGATTCTGTGTAAAAATATTAGAAGTGGAGACAAAAGAGGCCCATTTCCACACTCTTCACAAGTACAGCACAAGATGGGAAAAAGATGAGGAATAGCTTTTTAAGGTCAGTGGAGCTTACAGGTAAGGAGAATCGACTGCTTTATGTAGAACCAATAGATTCCCAAGTCAATACCAACAAAACGAACCACAACAGCAATTCTTTCCATGGCACACCCCAGCAACAAGCGACATGGAGGCACTAAATAAAGATAAGAAAATGGGAGAGAGATCTGAAATAAAATACCTCATTAAAAAAACTGTAGACATATCGTGAAGACTTAAAAAGCATAGATTCCCCGTATCACGTAGATACGAATAGAAAGAACGAACCCTCAATTAAAAATTCTTCCATAGTAATGAAGAGAAGAGATCCCGATGGGGCCTTTCCACATTGGTACTTGCTATTGGTTTCACCAATCCAGGGAACCACTTTTAGCAATCTGACACTCAAAAGCTACAACCTAACGCGGCCTCATTTACAGTAAGAACAAGTAAGCTTTACTGCATCGGGGAGTAGGACCTTCACCTACCAATCACCATTTCCCAAGCTATCATCAAGGAGACCAACATGTCAAAGACCAATGCCTCACGCCCAGTGACCACCAACAAAGCACACCAGCCAGCCCAGCAGCACGCCCCAAATTAACTCTCCACTCCTCCAAAGCCCAAGATGAAATGGTATCTTGTCTTCCACCTCCAGCACTACCAAATTAACAAACCAAATGGAGGTCTCTGCAGCTCCAACCACTTCAAAAACCTGTCTTTCTTGAGCAAACTCAACAAAGGTGTGGGAAAATTTATTAGTTTACGAAACTGCCATATCCATCTACGATACATAAGAGGTGAGGATACTTTTTACTATCATAGTCACAGTCTGGTCTAAACAGCGTAAACCCAACAGCATCACCACATAATTTAGAACCAACACACACCCACTGGTCCTTTTCCACCATCTCCCCGGCCATTCTCAAAACCTAAATGACCCCCCTTCCATATCGGATTCATCAAACCCGAACAAGGGAAGAAGAAGGCAGGTTAAAAGCACAGTTTCCTAATGCCACTTTGATCTAAACCTGACGTTAAGGCACTTTATCTCTACCCAGTTCTTCAGTCTAACCCCTGCTCAAACCTGCCCACCCCATCATTTCCCCATGCCCAACAACTGGCCTGTTCCGACCCCCTCATGCCCCAACTTGTGCTCCAACTGGCCTGTTCACCCCCGCTCCAACTCGAGTTCTTCATATTTTATCTGAAACCCGAACCCAGCTCGTTCCAATTCAAGGCGCCTATCCATTGTGTTTACTAGTTAGCAAGCCAGACCTGAAGCAACTTCAAAGAGAGGGTGTGAAAAAAGAAGTCTTCAAATAATTAATCTGTCAACACGATCAAAACTTCATGTTGAACCAGCACTTCAATCACATGATTTTTTAACATTTCCTTAGTCAGTTGCTGTGAAAATGGGATATTATAATAGTTGGCTATTTCTTTCCATTCTTTCTTCAGGATATTAACACGTAATTTAGCTACGGAAGGATTTTCAATAAAATCCTGGAGATCAAAACCTGAGGTGGCCATTGTTAAGAAAAATAGGATAAATTAACTAATGGTCCAAAGATAAGATAAGTGGATAACCCTAGAAAATATCACGGCAGTGGATAACCAGAAAGTCCCGAAAACTAACCAAGTTATACCTAGGGAAATTACACTTATGATTATTGTTCTTCTGAGAAGATCCTTAGATAAGGATAAGAGACTTGAAAGAGGTAGGGCGTATTACGGCATTAATATAAAGATCCGGATTAACAACCCTGATATACTTGAAAGAGGAAGGGCGTATTACGGCATTAATATAAAGATCCGTATTAACAACCCTGATATACTTGAAAGAGGTAGGGCGTATTACGGCATTAATATAAAGATCCGGATTAACAACCCTGATAAATGGTATGATTGACCCTGAATGAGATAATGAGAAGAACAATAATTGAGGCTTTATAATTATGGGGTCCTGGTAGAGCGGGGCGTCCCAAGATATCACTTCACCGTAAACTAGTGACTATGGAACAGCCTACTCTGGAGTGAGGGTACGGCATTAAACAGATCCGGATTCTTCCCTACACTCGATAAGACTTACTACACGACTGCCACGTGTAATAACAGGTAAGCCTTATGACACTTGGAACCTAATATCCTACGTCTGTCACTCTTACTGTACGATAATACCAATATATGCAAACACATATGAAGGAAACTTTAAACCACCGTAAAGCAATTGTGAACAGAAGTGACTGGGAGGAATAATTAACACTGAGTAACAAGGAGGAAGGAATATGGTACTTAAGGTCGTGTCCTGTCACGGTCGCCATTTGTTACGAGTTGGGGATTTAGAATATAGTTATACGTCTACCCAGATCCCAACAGGTAACAACAATAAAAACAAAGACAATCGGACTATAAAAGGGTAGACAAAGGATGCGAGTTTTCGTTGTATATAATAGACCATAAATCCCTTAACAAAATATTCAGCTTATAAATTACCCTTAACCAAACTTAACCTAAACATTAACAGTATATACATATTAATAAACATAAAACAATCTCGAAGCAAGTGGACGTGGGAAATTAATACAAGAGATACTAGTACTTAAGTGAGGAGCTGAGATGGCTGACGAGTAAGGCTGAGTATTGTAGAAGACGGTAGGTAGTCACTGCACGTACGTAGGTTTAGAGGATAGATGATCCTGTGGTCACTTCCCAGAGCCAAGTGCTCTCTCCTCGAATTGGGGGTGACGCAACAACCAGGATAGGGAGAAGGGAAACCTCGGAGTGGTAACTAAGACGAGTCATACTCGTGTCTCGTCCCTAGATGGCGTTGCTCGTGGTGCTGGGTAGGTAGATCAGGACAATAGATGGCGACCTCAACTCACTCCCTCAACAACAACTGCCATGGATCGGTTCTCAAGGAAGCTAGAGATGAGAAAACAAAGTGGGGGAGAGAAACCAAGACGTATGTGTCTCATGAGATCACTCTTATAACACTGTATAGATTTATGTGCCCCCTGAGATCACTCTTATACCACTGTGTACATGTATGTCTCTCTTGAGATCACTTTTATACCACTGCATAGACCTAGGTCTTTTGTCATCACTCTTATACCACTGTATAGACCAGGGGTTCCCAACTTGTGGGTCGCGACCCCCCAGGGGGTCACGGAGGGTTGGCTGGGGGGTCGAGAAGCCTTGGGAGAACAACTTAGTACATCAGCAGGAACATTACCAAAACTTTCATTTGGCTGATACGCCAGTAACACATGACATAATGTTGTGCCGGTGGAGAAGGCTATAGTTCTCACTCACTCTTTTCAATGTATTACGGTTAGGCTGTTAATGTTCGCGTCTACTTTTTAGTTGGTACTTGTATGTGTGAGTTGGTTCTAGAAATCTCCTGCCCTCTATGTGTCGATGTGTATGGAAGCTTCAGACAGCTTCGGGCAAGTTGTGGAAGTGTCCGCGATTCCGCTAGAAGCACATGCATATTAGTGCATATTGGGAGAGACGAGCAGAGTATTTAAATAGTGGAGGCACTCGTCTCGAGTCAGTCAGTATCGAGCCAGCCTGTCACTAGTCACGCAATTCCTGTACTGTTGCTATTGATATTTTTCTCAGCTAGAGTAACTGGGTGAGTTAAAAATTAATTGATTATGCACAGCTGTGCTTAATTGTAATATTTTACAAATTTACGTGTGTGTGTGTGTGTGTGTGTGTAACTTAGTAAGTTAAGTAACAATATTGGATACTTTTTACAGCTCTGTTTATTGCTGATGTTTCTTGTATATTTTCTATTTCAAAATTTGATATTTTGTATTTACAGATCTGAATCCATGTCTAAAAGGCGCAAATACTCGGAAGACTACCTCAACATTGGCTTCACCACAATGCTCGCCAAAAACGGCGTCGAGAAACCACAATGCGTCTTGTGCGATGTTGTCCTGAGTGCGGACTCGATGAAACCTTTGAAACTCAAGCGTCACCTTGAGACGAAGCATCCGGAACATTCAGAGAAGGATTTGGAGTTCTTCAAACGCCATGAGCTTCGTCTCAAACGTCAAAAGCTCGATGCTAGTGGGTCTTTTCAGCAACAGAGTGCAGCAGCAGTGGAGGCCTCTTATGAAGTTGCATTGGAAATTGCCAAACAAAAAAAGCCTCACACGATTGGAGAAACACTTATCAAACCCTGCATATTGAAGATGGTAAAGCTCGTACTCGGGGAGGCCAGCGCGAAGAAGATGCAACAAGTATCTCTGTCGAATAATACTCTTCAGAAGCGTATTTCTCATATGTCTATCGATGTGAAAGAGCAGGTTTTGGATGAAATTAAAGCTTCTCCGTTGTTCTCCTTTCAACTCAACGAATCAACAGATGTGAGTTCATGTTCTCAGTTGCTTATCTTCGTGAGGTACATTCATTCATACGTCATCGAAGAAGAATTCTTGTTCTGTAGTGCACTTGAAACCACTACAACAGCTGATGATGTCGTGGAAAAGGTCTCTACCTTTTTTCATACCGAAGGTTTGCAATGGGGAAACGTGTGCGGGGTTTGTACGGACGGAGCACCAGCTATGCTAGAATCGAAGTCAGGATTCCAGATAAGAGTAAAGAAGCTGGCTCTCCAAGCTAAGGGCATCCACTGCATCATCAACCAGTATGCTCTCGCCAATAAGACCCTTCCTGCCTCTCTGCGGGAAGTGCTCAATTCTGTGATCAAAATTGTGAATTACGTGAAGGCAGGAGCACCCAACACTCGTCTATTCAAAGAACTCTGCAAAGACATGAGTGCTGACCATGAGGTCCTTCTCTTCTACAGGGCTGTACGTTGGTTGTCGAAAGGGAATGTTGTGAATTGTGTCTTCGAGATGAAAGACGAAATCAGGTTCTTTCTGGAAGTGCAAGAAAAGAGAGATCTTCTGACTCACTTCGATGACGAAACATGGAATAAAAGGGTTGCGTACCTGGCGGACATTTTCGACCAGCTGAACAAGCTGAATTTGAAACTTCAGGGAAGGGAAACACATGTTCTCCTATTTCAAGACAATCTACGGGCCTTCATATCCAAACAGCAGAACTGGCGTCAGATTGTCAATTTTGGGAACATCGCCATGTTTGAAAAACTCTGCGGAGTGATGGACGAGTCTGAGGGCGAACTAGATCAGTTCCTGAAGGATGAGATTGCCGGACACCTTAAGTCTCTAGAAAAGGAATTTCAGTGATACTTTCCTGAGCTCACAGGAGAAGAGGAGGCACTGGTAAGAAACCCTTTCTCTACTACACTTGACGCATCCAGCATCCCCGACGAAGTCCAAGATGAATTCTTGGATCTACGGAACGACTCCGGCGCGTGACCTGTTCCAGGAAAAATCAGTGACTCAATTGTGGTGTGCTATGCATCAATCATATTTGAAAGTCAGCATGCTGTCTTACATGTTCTTCTTCCATTTGTCTCCACCTACCTCTGCGAGGCCGGATTTTCAAACCTCGTCCACATCAAATCGAAGACCAGGAACAAATTGGAAAGTCGAGGATGACATGAGATTGGCTCTTACAAAGACCCTGCCACGAATTCCAAGACTCGCTGCTTAGATGCAACCCCAACCATCCCACTAGCTAGGTTGAAGTAATGATTGTTTTCTCTTTCTTCCCCTTTCCTTCTCAGAAAAATCTGTAAAACTGAAATGGCTGAGGGCAGGGGGTCACGTGTTTCGGGGTTTTGAGAAAGGGGTTGCGAGTACAAAAAGGTTGGGAACCACTGGACTATAGACCCATGTGTCTCTTGATATCACTCTTAGACCACACTATGACGTATGTGTCTCTTGAGATCACTCTTATACCACTGTATAGACCTACTGTATGTGTCTTTTGAGATCACTCTTAGACCACTGTATGATGTATGTGTCTCTTGAGATCACTCTTATACCACTGTATAGACCTACTGTATGTGTCTTTTGAGATCACTCTTAGACCACTGTATGATGTGTCTCTCTCTTGAGATCACTCTTATACCACTGTATAGACCTACTGTATGTGTCTTTTGAGATCACTCTTATACCACTGTATAGACCTATGTGTCTCTTGAGATCACTCTTATACCACTGTATAGACCTACTGTATGTGTCTCTTGAGATCACTCTTATACCACTGTATGATGTATGTGTCTCTTGAGATCACTCTTAAACCACTGTGTACATGTATGTGTCTCTGGAGATCACTCTTAATAATAATAATAATAAAAATAGTAAACGGTTTATTAATAGAATTGCAGCTAGTGGCTGAAAATATGCATATTTACATGTGATTTAGACATTATAATATACGTTCAATACATTTACAGGGCTGTACAGTACATAAATCAGGAGCTTTTTTTTTTTTAACAATAGATGGAATGGTGCTATTCTTATATCTATCAGTGTTGGCTCTTATGGGCTGAATTTTGTTGTAGTGGCGGACTGCGCGAGGTGGGCGGGGTATTGCAGGTGGTAGTAACTGGCGATGGCGAGGATGGTGCAGTAGTCCACTACCAAACCCTGCTAGTGAGTGGTGGTGGAGGTCACTGAGGGATGGCATTTCCAGGGTGGAGAGAGTGTTGTTGTTGCCGGAGTAGTCTGCGCCGAGCATGATTCTGCAGGCCCTCTTTTGTACCTTCTCTAGCTGACGTTGTTGGGTGGAGTTGAGAGAAGACGACCAGGCTGGTAATGCATACGTTAATTTTTGGAGTATAAATGCGTTGTAGATAGTCCAGTGTATACGTATGTGTCTCTTGAGATCACTCTTATACTACTGTGTACACGTATGTGTCTCTTGAGATTACTCTTATACCACTGTGTACACGTATGTGTCTCTTGAGATCACTCTTATACCACTGTGTACACGTATGTGTCTCTCGAGATCAATCTTATACCACTGTATGTCGTATGTGTCTCTTGAGATCACTCTTATACCACTGTGTACATGTATGTGTCTCTCAAGATCACTCTTATACCACTGTGTACATGTATGCGTCTCTTGAGATCACTCTTATACCAGTGTATACATGTCTCTTGAGATCACTCTTATACCACTGTGTACACGTAAGTGTCTCTTGAGATCACTCTTATACCACTTTATAGACCTATGTGTCTCATGAGATCACTCTTACACCACTGTGTATACGTATGTGTCTCTTGAGATCACTTTTCAGTGCAAAATGTTTCCCACATTCCTCACATTGAAACTCTTTTATACCACTGTGTACAAGTAAGTGTGCCTTGAGATGACTTTTACGGGCAAAATGTTTCCCACAATCATCACATTCAAATTCTTTTATACCACTGTGTATAAGTACGTGTCTATTGAGATCACCCTTACGTGCAAAATATTTCCCACATTCATCACATTCAAATTCTTTTATACCACTGTGTCCAAGTATGTGTGTCCTAAGAGTACTCTTTTCAACAAACTGTTTCCCACATTCATCACATTTAAACTTTTTGATGCCACTGTGTCTTTCAATGTGTTTCTTGAGGTCACCCTTTTGTGAAAACTGTCTCCCACATTCATCACATTCAAATTCTTTTATACCATTGTGTCCAAATACTATGTGTTTCCTAAGAGTGCCCTTATCAACAAACTGTTTCCCACAGTCATTACATTTAAATTCTTTAATACCATTGTGCATAAGAATGTGTGTCTTGAGATGACCCTTTTGTGCAAAATGTTTCCCACATTCATCACATTTAAACTTTTTTATACCAAGGTGTACAAGTGTGTGCCTCCTGAGACTACTGTTACCTGACAAATGTTTCCCACATTCCTCACATTCAAACTCCTTCACACCATTGTGTGCAAGTAAGTGTGTCTGAAGAGTAGACTTTAAGCTAAACTGTTTGCCACATTCTTCACAGGAGAACTTTTTATCTCTGCTTGACATTGTGAACTTCTACTTAGTTACGCTTGGTCTTGAGAAGTGACATCACAGTATCTGAAACAAAATATTTTGCTTTAGATATTATTCTAATTACAATTACAATTATCAAATGTGAACTAGAAGTGACTAAATAAACTTGTATATTGTATAGTGAAAATAATCTAAAAATAATTTCTGTACTGTATATAGGTTAATTACAGTTAATCAGGGTTTATGCCATATCATCAAGTGTCCTCACACAAAATTTTTTTTCTAAACTATTTCTCTTTTAAACATTGATTAGCCATAATTGAACATTAAATTATAATTACGACAATGGTCCCTCCATTAACGAGCGGTTCAATTTATGAGATTTCGGTTAATGAATTAGCTCCCTTAAGGATTTTCAGTTCCATTAACGAGCACAACTTTGATTAAATACAGCCTTATGACACGCTTTGGTGTGCACATCAGCTGATCGGCTAGTACACCAATACAATAATTGGTTCTATGTTTACATTTGTCTCCAGTGGAGTAAGTATCAAGAAAGTTGTGCTCTTGAGTATTTTTGCATTTTTTATATTAAAATTATAGGTCATTCTAAAATTTAGTAACATATTGATAATATATACAGTACAGGGTACAACTTTTGTGCCCCCATCAGCTGATCGAATCACCCGCCAAAACTTCTGTTTAACTTTGTTTACAGTGGAGGAAACATCGAGTTTGTTGTTCTCTCGAATATTTTTACATTTTTACATTGAAATTATTGGTCATTCTGAAATTTAGTTAACATATTGGTAATATATAGTACAGTGCAGTGTTGATTTAAATAAAATAATCTTTAATTACAAGTAGTGAACCTAAAATTTTATTGGTGAAATTACTGTATCAAGCATGCGTCCAAAGAAATCTAAAAAGGCGATTTCAATTCAAGGAAATTATTAAGAAACACGAAGAAGGCATTAGAACCAATGTACTGTGTAAAGAATATGGCATGTCGGCATCAACTTTGTCTAAAATTATTGCACAGAAAGACAAATTTAAAACAGTGAAAGTGAGAAATAAACTACCATAGTGTTTAAAGGTAGATCACTAATTGCAGAAACAGAGAGGTTACTTATTATTTGGATTAAAGAAAAACAAATTAAAGGCGATTCCATTTCTACTGAATTCATTTGTGAAAGAGCCAGGGAAATTTACGAACATTTGAGGGAAGATCAACCTAGTTTTTCTGAAACTGTGTTTGAAGAGTTTAAGGCCAGCAAGGGCTGGTTCGATAAGTTTAAGAGAAGAACTGGCATTTATAATATTGTTAGGTGTGGTGAAGCTGCCAGTGTGGATAAAGAAGGAGCTGAAAAATTTGTAGTAGAATTCAAGAAACTGATGGATGAAGAGGATTATCTTCCACAGCAAGTTTTCAATGTGGATAAAACTGGGTTGTTCTGGAAAAAAATGCCCAAAAGGACATTCATCACCAGAGACGAAGTTGCTTTATTTGGGCATAAACCCATGAAGGTCTGTCTCACTCTATTGCTTGGTGCCAATGTTTCAGGAGATTTCAGACTGAAGCCTATGCTCGTATACCACTCTGAGAACCCCAGGGTGTTCAAGCAACAAAAGGTGGTAAGAGTTTATTGAATTTATTGAAAGTCAAACCGCAAGGAATGGGTAACTAGACAGCTCTTTAATGAATGGGCAGTTGAGGTGTTTTGCCCAACTGTGAAGAGTTACCTCACCACCAATAAACTTCCTTTAACCCTTAGGCTCCGGGTGAAGTTCCAGACCGTCCGACTGGCCCACCCCAGCTGATGTTCCAGAACGTGCACCTTTTCCCGCCACTGTTTTGTTTGTTTCATTTTTATTGTTTGTCGATTTTATCATGTTATATCAAAGTACCCGGTAATATTGCTAAAAATAAGTGCAGTATA